TTTAAACATTTGCTGTCAGCACTGCCAACAAACGCATCCATCAACAGAGATCATACTTTTGTTACCCTCGTGGGATCGATGCCAAGGGTGAGCCTGCAATGTTTAGTAGAGAACTGGAAAACAGATTCTTCCTGGTTGACTACTGCCAGTTCGCAGAGGAAGCAACTTGTAAGAGAGCGTCTCTTTAAAAATTAGCTTTCTTCCAGCAGATAGCTCCTGAATAAGACTCATTAAGGAAGAAAAAATAATGGGAAAGAAGTCTTTACACTAAATGATAAATAAAGGTATTAAGACCCATCTTGTCATTATCACTTACACAAAGATCCACCTTAAAATAGCTTTTGGAATTGGGAAAGGTCCCAGTTTAAGGTTTCAGAAAAAAAAAAACAGATTGAACTAGTTATTTCATCAATGCTTTTATGCTGAGGTCACTCCAATCCTGGCGTTAGGGAAATATAGGAAATCCATTTTAATTGCATGGACTGCCTTTGTCTACACAATGAGCTTCTTGAATTCTTAGTACAAGTGTATTTAAGAGAGCTTTTAGAGCAGATTTTGACAACCAACTTAACCCAAAAGAAATTGGCTGCTGTACAGTGACAGTGTATAGCTTGTTCAGCTTTACATAAAGGATTCAGGTACATAAGGCTTTAAGGCTACAAAGTCCTACTGAAGACAAAATAGATGACTACAGTGTTTTGCACAGTAAAAAACAAAAACCAAAACATGCTTAAACATCAACAACTAAATCTTGTTACCTGGGTTTATGTGCAATACAAAAAATAATTATTTATTACTCTTTCTATTCAAGACATACTGAAGCCAGTATGTTGAATTTCAAGAGAACCTCAACCAACTTTACAGCAATTGCAATGCAACAATATTCCGTAATATCACAATGGAAAAACTTAGAAAATTAAAGTACATTTTTTGAACTGAAAAATACTATAATTATTACTAGAGGACACTAGAGATGAGGAACATTAATAATATATTTCTGACTCAATATATTTCTGACTCAAAGCTTAGAAAAATAACATTTGAGACCCTGAGAATTTGCTGTTATAAAGCAAAAAAAGCTTTCAAAAGTAAAAATCTGTCAGAGGGAAGAACAGAAGTAAGACGTTCTAGAAGCGTCACCTAGAAAAATCAAGGTTGAGCCAATTTCATTTCAGATTCTCAAAATATAAACTCTGGAAAAGAAGTGCGACTATCCTACTGGGCATCGTAGCAAAATATTTTCAATTACCCTAAAATAGTATTTTTTAATAACTATACTTTTGTATAATTTGGAGTGAAATCTCATAAAGGTTTGCAACAAAAATTTAGTTTTCAATCTACATTTGAGAAGAAAATCAGTTAAAATTGACTTTAAAAATTGAGATGGTTAAGAAAAACTTAAAGCTTGCATCTTACGCTTGCAAAATAATCTGGAAAAGCAAGTTGTAGAAGTCATGCTTTACGAAGAGAACAAATGACTTCAGAACCACGAATTAAGTTAGTGGATACTAACCGTTTTCATACTGGTTAGACAATTCTCTGAAAGATATTTGAAAGTCAAAATAACGCTCCAAAAATATAGTGTTCTACAACACAGGAACTTGTTTAGATAGTTACTTTAAGAACTTACTAAATTGCCCTCATATCTCATCTAAGTGAGAGGCACTTGCTTTACAGAACTGAACATGAGACTACCTAGGGAAACAAAGTTTCTATTTCAAACAGATACCAAAAAACCTCCAGATTTATTCTGCTCTTCTCTCTACACAGACAAAACTTTGAGAAGGTAAAGGGACAGCAAAAGAGAATAACTAGATGGAGCCCTAAAGAACCATTTAGGTTTGGATCAAGGAAAAAAAAACAAAAAATTATCTAGGGGTTCCAGCACTACAAATATAGAAGTATATTTAACAAAGTTTCAACTAGAACTTGAGAAAAAAGTTTCCAATTACTATACCAAGTTGTTGGTTTCAGGTCTGCTTACTTTTTGCACTTGCATACATATCTAGTGCCAGAAAGAGTCCTTTCTTTAGTAGTCTATATTTTTCTAAGTGTAAGCAAAATTCATAACTCTTGCAATTATTTAATTATTTAAAGATTTTTTCAATAAAAACTTGCACATTATTTTTATTTTGTACTGATGAAACAGCATTCATAGATAATATAAACTATTATCTAATTCCCCTTCCTAACGTTCTGACATTATCATCAAGCTCAGGCTACTCCGGTTTTGCCATCTCCAAGAACCCTAGAAAAAGGTTATTTAGCCAGTTCAGTTCCCAGGGCCAGCCCACTACATAATCAGATAAGCACTAGTGCTGGCACAAGGGGAGGGTCCAAGAGCAGCCGATAAACCAGATTTACATCAATCTGACCTACTATGGAACTGTACCTTTATGAGTGTCAATTCAAACACAGTCATATTAAACATGGATAAAGGCAGTAAATAATGCAGGCAAGTATCCTCCTTTCCTCTCCTGAAAGCTGAATGACTGGGCAGCAGAAGAAACAGTCCCAGTTTAACAATATCAAGTATTAATGGAAATGGGTGCTGAGCTGAAATTTCATTATTACACTGGGCTGCAAAGAGATGTGGAAGCAGTTTCAGACCATTCGTGACCATGTTGGGAGTAGCTGAGCATCAGCTTTCAGGAGAAGAAGAGAATGGACAGCTACAGGCAGGAACTGCTTCCATCACTGAAATGTAACCTGCCTCTGTCCATAAACCAACACCCTGAACCCACATACATTTAAAAAGAGAACCTTGCACAAAGATAGCATCCCAGAGCGTTACAAAGATTCCAGTCCTTCAGGAATCACCTCCACTGGATCTGCCCTGCCAGGATGCAATGCTTACTGGCAAAAGAACAGGTTGTGTGACTACACATCCGTACATCAAAATAAGAAAACATACATTTTCCTTTCCAAAATCACAACAAGGAGTGTATGAAGTGTGGAGAATATATCATTCTCCTCCTTTGGGAAAGTACTGGAGCAAGTGTAAATGACCGACAAGCACCTCATTATACAAAGTAAAGGACCAAATTAAGATACAAGTTAAATCGCTCTTTAAGCGATACTGAGACGAGACC